AATACAAAATTGCATTTAAAAAATTCATGCATTTTTCAAAACCTGCTGTGTCCCCTGACAGTCAATTTTAAGAAATTTCTTTTTCACTCTATACTCTATTAGGTCATCAAAGTCCAAAAAAATATTGGTCCATGCCTCAACGATTTTTTTACGTCTCCTATAGCGTTTTTTCAAATGTCCCTTGGAAGGGACATTCGGCTCTTAAGGGTTAACAGGCCTTCGGGCATTAACGCATAATAAAGCAAAAAAAAAATGAATTAATTATTTTTTCTATATCATTCAATGATAATTGACATTCTGAATAAAAATAAAAATTGAAATTAAATTCGGTATTGTATGTGGTAAACAATATTCTCGAATGAAATTGGCATCAATAAAAGATTTCCATATTTTTTTGACACCTCGTTTCAATTAGTTTATCACTTTTAAGATGAAGTCGAAGTTTTTCAATATGATTTAAATTGTTGAGAAGCCATTTCAAATAAACAAATTGTAAATCTTCGTAAATGAAAGTTTGTAAACTTAAATATCGTAGTTTTGGTACATAAAAAAAAGGTCTCAATTGTTTTTATTAGTCAAAAGCAAAAACTATCTTGACAAAATTCATAAAATAAAAAAAAAGATGATTTTTCTTACTTTATTAGACCAATTTCTATTTGATTTTCTCAGCGTTTCAACATGCGATTTCCATAATGGATCTAATATCAATGAAGAATCAAACTGAACTGACATTTGTTCGAGATTGGGTAGATGTTTGATAATATTTTCCAACACAGAAACATGTCTAACATAAAGATAATATAGGATCAAAAATGCAACAAGATCTATTTATAATTCCATTGTAGTTGTTGATATATAAGATTCTTTTCATAGAAAGAAAACGATGAATTTTTAACTTCAATAGTTTTACGTATCATACTAATTTCTCTGTCTTATGAGAGAATCTGGTAAAGTGATAAATCGATTTTGAACTGAAAATATGTGACCATTTCACTGGATTGTCGCTCAATACTAGGATATCTCAACATATATCAAATATAGAAATTCTAATCTGAAAATTTGCGCAAAATAGCTCTTCTGGTACTCTTAACATACCAGCTATTGTAGCCCAAATGGGTTGCTCTTTTCTTAGGCGTGAAATTCTCAAAATGGATACTTTATAAAACATTTGAGAAAGTACAAATTTCTGAAGAACTTGATATCATGGGAATAAACCGTTTGTTTCCGTTGAAAATCTTGGTGCATTAAAGTTAACATGACACTGATTTAAGAGTAAATTTGAGATCGAAAATTCAGTAGAATCGTCATATGTAGAGATGTACGAGACCAAGTTCTTTAGTTACGGTCTTAGAAACTTATTTTCTCAATAGTCTCAGCAATAGTCCTGGTAAATTTGGTCTGCTTCCGGTTCTATGATTTTAATTGTTCAGATACCGACTATGATTTTGGTCTCAGCTTAAAAGAAACTGTTTCAGAATTCATTCACATCAAATCTAAAAGATCCTTAAATACCCGTTCTTTCGTCTATTCAGTAGACGAACGTCACTCTTTTTCGTCACCTCTCTTGACTTTTGTTTTGGTTGGTATGACTTATAAGGTAATTCGCTCAAAATTACAGATCATTTAAATGCAATCTATAGGTTCAGTTCAGACGACTCTATTTTTATCGTCGTCTAGATATCAGTCCACTCTTGTACATCTCGGATGATAACTCAAGAACAAAGCATTAGGAGCACGAATCAATTTAGACTTTTCCTTGTATCAATCAATCTTATGCAATCAGATAATTCTCACCTTAGCAGTGATCTATCAACCTGCAAGATTTTCTTTCAAAATAATTGAATCAATTTCTACTTTATCACACAAAGACTGATATTTTCTAAAGATATCTGGATATCTGATTATGGTTATAGATTTCAATCTATGCTTAAACAGACATATATACCATGAAGATAACAAAATCTAGAAAGACTTATGTTTCATAGAGATTGACTTGAAGCTGTTAAGACAAGAAAGTATTAAGTGTAGAAAATATATATATATATATATATGAGCGACTAGTTATAGATTCTAAGATTTTTTCCTCTAGACGGAAGCTCACAGACTGACACCATTTACCTTCTACATGAATAGATTCTCTGTTTATTCGTTCCTAAATGATTCTAATTAGTATTAAGAGCTTCATTGATTTCTTCGGAAAAATCCATCGAATATGAAAGTAGAGGAGATGCACGTGGTGTCTTCTTTTTGGAACAAAAAAATTTTAATCAGATAAATTCGAAACCGATATTTTTACGTTGAATTTTTCAGTGGATGGATTTATATGAGATGTAAATGGTCTCAATCAAGGATGAGTTCTTCATGTTTTTCTACATATAAAATCCGTTTGAACACTTGCTGATCAAATGTTAACGTAAGTTCATCTAATTGATGTTCAATAAGATAAGATAAACATTGAATTACTGGTTCAATTGATCCACATCGTGTGAGAATAAGTGATTTAAGATTAGAAAAATGAAGAATTTTTTTATCATTAAACAACTATTCATAACAAAGATCAGAAGCAATTGAATTTGTTCCATCGAAATGAATACGTTGAATAGAAGAAGAAAGAGATGAAGAATTTAAAATCAATGGAAATAATATTGAACAACATTTATTATAAGATAAACCTTGTTTAATACAAATATTCATATTCGATAGATTGTCATTTATCGAAAGAGTTGAACACACAAGAAAGTTGAAGCGAATATTTAATGACCAAAAAGATGTTAACATATCGAACCATTTAAGATAAGAAAAAAATATGAAGAAGAATTTCATTAGGTAGTGTTTCCATTCTATAAATAGTTTTAACTATTCAAAGGATAAAATTGAATAAAAAAGAAAAGACCAAAATTGTTCTCTGTGACAAAAGAACACAAAACTAAATAAAGAAAAAAAAGTGTCTTACACTGAATGGTAATTGATATTTATTTCGTGTGGCTTTCAAACAGTTAGACAACTAAATTATATTAAATAATATCATTGATTTAATTATTTATAATGTTGCAAAGAATTTTTTTTCAACATAAATTAATAGTTGATAATTTATCACTAAATAAATGACAATTAACAAAAATAATTAATTTTTTTCTTAAGATTATTTCTCAATAAATCATTTATTCAAGGAAGAATATAAAATAGAATCGATTGATTATTGAAAAAGAAATTCTCTAATTGATATGATCGTTTCAATAAAACTTTAATTGAAATAGTAGACTTGATTAGTTATACTATTGTAGATAACATTAACTATTTTAACTGAGAAGATATTTCGAGCATAGATTGATATTGTCTCAATAAATCGAACTTATTATTAATAAATAAATGTCATTTATTCAAAATGATAATGATAAACATCTATTCTTTAATTATTTTATTTGTTAATAGATTTCTATCCTTAATCTATTTAATTGAGATAAATCATTAGTAGTTTTATTTTTATTGAAAATAATCAATAAAACAATATATTATTATTATTCCAGTTAACATCAGTTCAATGACTATTAGAAAAATGAAACCATATACATATACATACCATATTAAGTTAGTTTTATTCTTTGATTTAAAACTTTATCTAAAGTGAATATTCAATTATATAATAACTGTTTTAGAGCATACACTTTATAGGGCATTTATCTTTTAATATATATATATAACATAAATAGTCAACTTTGTTTCATGAGAGATTTTTTATTAATAGATCAAGTAAAAGTGCAAAGTCATTTATTTGGACTTTAATCGAATAATATGAATGATTATAAGTAGAATAGTTCAAATTGATCTAGTTGAATTTGTCGAAAATATCTTACGAAATAAACTTGTTTTTAATAACTATTAAACAATAAATTTGTTACTATTGATGATTATAAGTAAGCAAGGTGATCAAATAATGATAATTATAGAAGAGAATAAAAGAGTCTTGATTATGAAAATCGAAAATATCACTTTTTCCTCATCGAACAAATTTTCTATAGTTATAGTTGAGAAGGTCCATCGTCTCTTCGTCTTATGAACTTTGATAAGCAGTAGGAAGCTGTCAAAATAGTCTATTCAAATCTTTTAATTAGTTTAAAAAATATTCTAGATAAATATCTGTTGTAGATTATTATTTAATATGAAAATCTCATCGTCATTATTATTTTATATTTGATTGTTATATTAAAAAATCCATCTTAAATAAAACATGAATTAATACTCTTATTTAGTTTTTTGTTAACAAAAATAGATTTTATTTATTTAATAAAAAAAAACCGAATATGTCTTACTTGATTTATTCAAATAAATCATTCTTAGTTTTTTTGATATAAAACATAATTAATGAACGAATTAAACTTTTTATCTTTTAAATAATTAACGTTGTTTTTTTTTTGTTTATTTAAAATCTTAACAATAGATAAAGTAAATTAGGGTAAAAGATAAATAGATATATATGGAATAGTGTCTAGTTTAAAACATAATAAATAAGATGAATAAATCCATATGAAAGAAAATATAGTTTTTTTTCTGGTGCACATATATTACTAGAATAATAAATAAGTTCGATATTTAAATGAAATGATTTATTTTAAATGAAAAACAAAAACAAATGGTTGAATATATATGTTTTGTTTGTAGAGGAAAATATATTCGAAGAATTTATAATTAATTTAATTTTTCTTTAACTATTCATTTCGTTTCAATTATTTTCATTGATAAACATCTGTCACATAAAAATGTCGATCTTTATTATTATTATTGTTATTATATTCGTTCTTTTTTCTTTTGAAAAAGAAAAACATTAAGAATCTGACACACAGACAAATAAAAAAACGAATTATAACAGAGATGATGTTTAGAAGAATAAATCAACTTGATTATATTTAATAAAATAAAAAAACAAAAAGATACGTATGATCAACAAACAAGATATAATTCGAAATAATATTGTTAATTAATTTATTAATTGAATAATATAAATGGGTGGTGCATCAACTTGTATTCGATCTAAACTTGCTCAAGAATTATCAAAAGAAGAAATAAATATATTATCATTAAAAAGTAATTTAACTAATAAAGATATTGAAGAATGGTATTCACGTTTTATTCATTGTTATCCAAATGGATATTTATCACGTAAACAATTTGTTAATTATTATCAAAATTTACGTGATGAACATTGTTTACAAATAAAACTTTTAATTAAACAATTATTTAATGTATTTGATTTAAATAAAGATAATAAATTAGATTTTTCAGAATTTATATTACTTAATACTCTAACAAATAATGGATCAATAAGAGAAAAATTAAAATTAATATTTTCATTATATAATTATGATAAAAATAAAAATTTTTCAAAAGATGAATTAAAAGAATTTTTAAGAAATATGTTTTATTTATTTGATATTCCATTATCAAATATAAATATTAAAAAATTTATTGATTATATATTTAAAAGAAATTCTATTAATAAATATGATAAAATAACTTGGAATTTATTTACTAAAAATATTAATTATGATGACTTTGATTTTTCATCAGATCTTAACTATGATCATTCTCAACATTATCAATTTATTCAAACATCTCACAGATTTTAATTATTTATCTAATTAAATGTATTTAACAACTTTTTTTTTGCTTTTTCAATTATTTAATTAGATTTAACAAAATAACAAATTAATTATTATTGACATAAATATAATAATTAAGAGCGTTAAACAAAAACAAATTATATGAAAATAACAACAAATATCAATATATTTAATAAATATTTAAATTAATATGTCAGAGAAGAATTTTCTCAAAAAAATCTTCATTTATTATCTTGTTTATCTTAAATAAATTTCAAAGGAGAATATATTTTCTTAAACGATCAAATTATTCTCCTTCTATTATTTATATTATTATTTTCATCATTGTTAAATAAGAAGTTACAACTTTATTACCGATCTACTCGATTGACTTAAAACTCGTTATTTATCTATGTCGAATTGTCTTCTCTCGTATCCTATAGACTTTAATCATCATACTTTTCTCTTTCGTCATCTTCAACTTTTAATCATTTTTCTTCTAAATATATATATCAAGATAAAATCACTTTTGTTTTCAATATTCAATGTTCTACACGAATGAAAATATTTATGATTTATTTCTCTTATTCGATGAGATTCGATGAGATTGTTTCTTTGTGTATGTATTATATAAGAAAATGTCAGTAAAGAATAATAAGAATTTTTGAAATAAATAAATTCTATGATTTGAAATCATTTGCATACTTATACAATATAATTGTTTTATGTATGTTACACAAATCTTCGACAAATATTTTTTTTCGCAGAAAAACTGCAGTTATTGTCTACCGCAGGCTTGGAAGATTAATTATAATTTCAAAAATTAGTTAGATAAATTGTGCCTTGACAAATAGAAATGAAAAAATGTTAAACAAAAACTAATCATATCACTTTATATTAGTAATCAAGATGATAGACAATTATTCTGTTGTAAAGGATGCCGAAATACAAAAAGTTCTAATTAAATAATAAAATTATTTCAATTGAATTAAAATCATTAAAAATATATCATTCTCTCTGAAGAGAATTATTCTTCTCGACAGATTTTAATATGATTAAAAAGCTTATTTAAAGATTGACTATTGCATAATATATATAAATTCTCAAACAATCAATTTATCTGATTGAAAATTACACTCGACTATATCATATAACCTATGGAACATTTTCATTAGACGTATAGATTTCTTTTTGACAAAAAATGTCAAATGTAAAATATATAGTTATGATTGATAAATAAACTGTAACATATAATGATTTCGATGGAATTGAAACAATTTTATGTTTTTGATGATAGATTTTATCTCTCTATAGAAATGTGTCTAGTTTCGTCATCTACCTATCTATAGATTTTGTATATGAAAAGGTTATTTAGAAAGAGGCATAGAAACTTTTCAACAATCTTTAAGGATAAATAAATAGATTTAAATAAAATAATTATTTTATGATTTTGATGAATATTGAGGGTGTATTTAATATATTTATTTCAAAGATATTTATTTCGTTTGTCTAGAAAACTTGTTGACATATATTATTTTAGTAAATGTTGAGAATAAAATCAAAATATTCAATTGATTAAATAAACGAGATACATGTTATTTCAATTCGATTGATATATTAATTTTTAATTTATTTATTATTCTTATTTAACAAAAAGTAAAATAATATTATTTGATGAAAAATGCTTTTTTAAGTAAAGGATCTTCATTATTATTATTGTGTGATATTTCATTGATTGTTGATCGTCGATGATTCGATGATATCCAATGACATGAACATATGCTAACAGCAGTTAATTTATATTTGATTTTTGCACAATAATTTAAACAATATGAACCAAAATCCCAAACAAAACGACTTTCATTCATTTTGTATATCGAAAATAATATTAATAGAAGAAGAATTTTATTTAACGGTGAATCGAATGGAGCAGACATTGGACTTTTCTAAAAACAATTTTCAAATATTTTTATTTTTATAAAAAATAAAACAAAAAATGGGAGAAAAAAGAAAAACTCTTATTGAAGAATCTTTCTTCATTTTAAATATAAAATCGAGAGAAACTATTTGAAAATAAAAATATTTAACATTATATAGATAAAATAATGTCTATGACGATTGATCGCTTCAATAAATATTCAAATAATCTTTTTTTTGTTCTTAAAAATAGATTAGAATAGAATATCTGAAAACTATTTTAGTATGAAAAAAAAAAAGAAAGAGAGAAACAGAGTATTGTTTGATGAATAATAGTTGATATGTTGTTTAGATTATAAAGTAATCTTCCATAATAAAAATCTATATTATCTTATATAAATATTTCATTGTGTTATGTGACAACAGCTTTATTTAAAAAAGAACTAAAGAAAAAGAATTAAAATAAATCGGATTTCAATATCTAAATCCATATTTTTCATTTTTTTCTATTTCAATAAAACAAAACAAAACAAAAAAAGAAAACACCTACACATTTATTTTCATGCAAAAACTATTTATTAAAGAAATTTCTCTCTCTCTCATATTGTTTATTAAAAAAAAAGGAAAAGTTATTCGAATTGATAAGAAGGAATATGATCAAGACAAAATAATTGATTATAAGTTTGATCTTGATAAAATTTTTGTCCAATTAATGATTGTAAACATGTAACACAAACACAACAATCCGAATGCCAATAGAAATCTTTATGTTGAACAAAACTAATAGATGTTAAACCATCTGATCTTAACGATTCATCTAAATAAATATATTAATTAATAGATTCTAATTTTAATATTAATAATATAATTAGTTACGATTAAATGTTATTGATTTCATACAACGAACACATTTATGAGTAAATAATAAATCATAACATGATAAACAAAGTATAGGTAGACTCCAATTTCCACTTTTAATATAAAAATCTCCTTCATTTAAACTTTTATTACATTCACAACAATTACATCTATATTTATAAATAATATTCATTTTATTTTACAAATAAGAAAAACCTCAACTTACGAATAAACTTTTTCAACTTCAACATTAATATTAGTTTGACCATTATTCTAAATATAAATATATAGATTAATACATTAAATGTTTTTTTTTTATCCTATTAAAATAATTAAAGATAAATAATATCATTAAATATTCTTCGTTTGAAGAATAAATAAAAATATTGTTTTTATATCGATATTTTATCCGATGAAAAAAAAAAAAACAAACAAACAAAAAAAAAATTTGTTTGAAGCTATTTATTTAAATACTTACACGAAGAATATCACTAATAAACGATTCATTTAATCTTCCTTTTTTTTCCATTTTATTACAATTAACTTCAATTTTTTCTTTATTTCTATTTAATAAAATAACAATAAATTATTCGAGACTTTTTTTTAAACATAGACAAACATACCCAAATGGAAGACCTTTTAATAGAAATTCGACTTTTGTATTTGCTGAATATGTTGATGGAGCACCTTAGTTATATATATATAATTGAAATAGAATATTAACAAAACAAAAAACAAAAGGCGAAATCTTACGTTTTATTTGTTTAACTGCAATAATTAAATTATCACATATGACCTAATTAAAGTAAAAACTAAATTTGTTATTAATTAAAATGTAAAATAATATGCATACATGTTCTCCTCGTCGAAGAACTTTTCTATTAAATTGATTAAGAAATATATTTGTGAAATAATTTTTATCAAATGTTTCTTTATTTAAAGATTTATTTTCACGAATTCCAAATAAACGACGATAACCTCGACGAGATCTATAATAACAATAAACTTTCTTGTTTTTTATTCGTCTTTTTTTCTTTTATAAAATAATAAAAAACAAAAAAAAAGAAACCTTGGTTGTAATTCAAGTAGAATTTCTGATACGTATTCTTCTTCCATATAAAATAAACAATAATATGAATGTTTTTTCTATAGAAAAAGAAAAATGATTGATATCATCTCATTCATATATATCTTATCAACATGTATTCATGCATATTCAATCTATAGAACGAGACCATTTTTATCATTATTCTCACATTCTCTTTCTCTCTTCCTTCGTTTCATTTTTGTTTTCTGATAAGAAACATTTTTCAACTAATTAATAAATACTTAACATATTTATTAGAATTTTTATTTGAAATTTTCAAATAATAGAATTGATTTATCTTGAAATCTTTTTATTCTAATAAGAATTTATTTCATATGTTATATGATAGAATAAACTCTTTTATTTTAACTATCGATTCGATATTCGAACTTCTAGGATTTTTTTAACAAAAAAAAATAAAATAAGATTCATTGAAGAGTTAATAAAAATCTAAATTAGATTTAATGAATAATTCTCGATATTTATGTTCGATTATGTTTCGAATAGAGATTTTCTTATAATAACATTGCTTTTGCTATCCTCAATCAATTTTTTAATGATAACAGTTTCGAGAAAAAATGTTTGCTATTTTTGATGAATAATCGAACTAAAAAGATAATAGTTAAAATCGATTTTCAACACATTCCAAGTTAAATATCATATGTGTTAATTATAGAATTCTTATTCATATCAATTCAATTGAATAGATTTAATAGAATGATGAAATTTTGTAATTAAATGATTTATGTTCATTAAAATCAATTTTAGAATATCATATTGATTTCTATGAATTATTTATTAAAAATTATCATCTTAATAAATCGATAGATTATTATATAGATACTATCTGATATAGTATATTATCCAAGTTCAATTTCAAGATAAAACACTTTTTATTTATGTTTGGACTCGTCAACAATCTATCATCGGTAATCAACCTTTAAATAAATAAGTATTTTGAAATTTATCTCCCGATTCAAACATAGACTATTTTATCAATTTATCAATTCTAGAACATAATATTTCCACTTGATATTCATTAAACAAGCATCACTTATAGAATATTTAAACAACACGTTATTGTTTCTACTTTTTTATTTTTTGTAGACTAAGGATAACAAGACAAATAGAGTATGATATTCTAGAAAAGTTTCTATATTTAACGATTTTTCTTCAATAAATTGAATTGTTATCGTTAGTCTTTTAGGCAAATGTAACAATATTAAAAAATAACTTAATCAGACTGTACTATCTAATATTCTCTATGAAAAAAAAAAAATAAAATTTTGAGAATGAAATTTCAAAGAATATTTCGTATGATAGTCTGTCGGTTTGAGTTTGAATATATTTCGAAAATAAAATCTTATATAAATATTTGTGAGACAAGATCGATTATAGAAGACAAAGTTGACCACAACTGAATATGAATTAATTTATTATGAAATCTATTTTGTATTTATAATTCGTTAATCATATTTAATAAAAATCCATCGCATATTAACGAGTCGATGAAGTCGATTTAGATAACACTGTTAAAAATTTTTAAAGTGAACATTCAGCGATGTATCTAACACTATTCATTGGATGACGTATGTGCGAATTCTTGTATAACTCTAGGGACTCAAAATCAGTGCAATCAACAATGGCAGTGTTGAGAGTATCAAAATCAGAAAAATAAGAACCGTCGAATGCATCGATACATACAAGGAGACCACTGTTGAAAAGAAAAGACGTCGTTTATGAACATAAATTATCATTGCCAAAACTGATTTGAATTTTCTTCTCATCGGATCGATTCGACTAAAGTCAACTATCAGCCAAGTGTCTTCCATGTCAAAAGCTTTTTTCTCAGTTTTCAAAATATGAGCAATATTTGATGAACACTTTCTAACAGAACTAACAGTTGTTTGACTTTCAAGAATCACTGCAATAATACTCTCAATAGTAGTAGGAAAGTGGTTTTCTATCAGAGGAATAGCTCTACTTGTAATGAAATTCG